GGGGCCCGCGGCTCCCGCGCGGCGTGGGAACGGCGTCGCAAAGCCACCGGCCTCGGCCTGGCGGTGCTTAATTAAATACCTCATCTGGGGGCTGTTTATGATGGCAGCGCCAGCCTGTGGGGTGTGCTTTTCGGTCTGTCCGTCGTGTGTCGTCCCCCCCCCGATGTGTTGCATGCGATCGGTGAGGCGCCGCATGGGTTGCCGCTCGTAGACACTGACAACTGAGGAAATTAAATTCCGAGGCTGAATCAGTTAAAAGCCTGACTAAATCGGTGTTGTTTTTCTATGGCAACTGAAACAACATGATTACTTAAAGGATAAATTTTTATTGCTAATTAATGTTTTTCAAGACAGTAAGTTTTTTGCATTTTTTTTGTACCAGGATCCTCTTAAATACCTTTTTGGCTTTTTTTTTAAATTTTTTTTAAGAGAGTACAAGCAATTGAGCTCAGTAGGACACTGTTAGATAAAAGCAGTGCTAGACTACAGTTCCAGCTTTGTATGAGGTAGTATGCCTTTCAGGTACTTGGCATCATTTATTACTGTTTTGTGCAAGAACAAATAATGTATTTATATGGTTATTCATACTTGGAAAAGCTCATCATACTTGTAAAATCCCTAGTGACAAGTCTGGATTTAAAAACTGAAGACAATGGAGCATTTGCTTATACTGTTTAAACACCTCTTTTTGCCTATACTAGACAAAATCTTGGGGTTTTATTCAGGTAAGCTAATTAAAAAAAAACCCTAAGGATGGTCTGATCTCACAGATGCTTACATCACATTCTGGTTTCTTCTGTCTCTCTCCTTCAGTGGGTTGACGTGTGAGTGAACCGTGGGCTAAAGTTGTTACAAGAGTTGGCTCTTGCTGTACAAAGTTATTAGAAAAGTTAAAAGAATGCTCTGAAAATACAGCAAAACCTATGGAAATGCATAATTGCAGTGATTGGTGCTTCTCCCCACTGTTCTGTGTATCTTTTCCCTTACGTACCATATTGCAGGTGAAGTTTTATAGAGCGCTGATCGTTATTTTGTAAAAACATGCTTCTTGGTATCACTAAAACTAGTGATGCCCTTAGTAGGTGCTGTACAGTCTCAAATGGTCGTTTCTTTGGGAGGACAAAACCCCATTTGTGAGGAAATCACCCCCTCTTAAAGGGGGCTTACAAGGCAGGTGATTATAGTGGCAGAAATGGTCGGTATCAGCGTTTAGAATTGTTGTATATTTTCTCATCCTAGGAGTGTGTACGTGTATTTACAATAGGGTTTTCTGTTGCGTTTCCTTAAAAAAAAACCCCACTGAGCTAAAAAGTTTGAAAGGAACAGCTTGAGGAATTTTTTCCATCAAGATACAATCAAGGGCAGGAAATCGTAGAAGCAGAGTTGTGGTTTTGCCTCCATTTTTTTATTAGTTAATTAAACTATAACAACTCTTAACTTCATTTTAGGTTAACTGTTCCTAGAGTTCAGAAATATTTTAAGAGGTCAATAATGCTTTCTTTGGCTTTCGCTCATTCGGTGTGGGATAAGGAGCTGCAGTCAGCAGGGCAGAGTTTTCCAGATGTGCTGCAGAGCGTGTGTGCGTGCGCTCATGTCGACAGTTGTTGGCGGTGGGAAACCATCCATCTTTCCTCATCTGCGCACCACCCTGGACGGATGGAAACCGCAGGAAAGATCCGTGGATAGCCTGACATCTGTCAGCGAACTTACAGCGTCTGATTAAAGCTCAGGAGCCCTGAGTACTTGCAGCTACCAGTTGACACGCGTTTTTACTCAGCGATGGAGAGGCGCCGAGTCTGAGTGAGAGTGCTGGGGGAGGGGGAATCCGAAAGGAAAAATTTGAGACGAAAGGTGTGTATTTGGTTTCACCAGAAGCCAAACAAAACCCCCAAAGACCCCATTGTACAATGCAGCATGGGTTTTCTCTGTGAAGTTGCGACATTTCTTTTTTAAAGTGCTGTGAGGCATCTGTCTGCATTTTCTTCTCGGCTTGGAGGCGTGCACTTAAAGGGCATATGAGGGAAGCAAATAGAGCCGTGCAAGTGTCACATAACTGTCTTTAATAACGGGAGCTATTCCAGCACTCGGAGCCAAATCGTCTTTCAGCAGAAAGGATAAAATTTAGCAGAGCTGGGAAAGGGAAAGAAGAAAGGGGAGGGGAAACACAGCACCACCCCCTGCTGACACCACAGAAGTTTCCCTCAGCTTTCCCTCGCTTTCCCTCTGTGCATATATTTTCTTTTTAATTAGCTGGGCTCTTCCCTCCCCTGCTTTTTTTATTTTATTTTTTTACTGTATTTTTATTGTTGGAATTCTGCTTTCCTAATTTCTCTTGTTTCACATTTAACTTCTTCAGAGGATTTCGTTAATAGTTACTGCAATTAAAAATAATAAATAAACTCAGCACCAGCTGCTCAAATGGCTGTCGTAGCATATCTGGAACATAATGCGGTCTGTTCAGGGCAGCCACACAATGGAATTTATCCCCACACCTGAGGGAATGAATTTCACAACTATAATTGCTACAATATAATTCTTATTAATGTTGTGCTATAATTCCTATTAATTCCAAAGGGCTAGTAAATGCATTAGGACTTGTCAACATATTATTTTACACTGTTTATGATCTGTAGAATTACGCTCTTCAGTATTGTATTGCATAAAGAAAAGCCTTAAAATTAGCTTTAATTGCGGGGCGGGGGGGACACACGTTTTCTGTTTGGGCGCTGGGAAAGACGGAAGGATCCCGGTGCTTGAGGAGTAATGAAACTGCGTTTTAAAATCAGTCCTGTGAACTTTCTGTGCCACGCAGTTACCAGTTTATGAAGATATATTAATAATGCCTGTCCTGGTTATTAGAAAAAGAACCACTGGTGTCTTTATGAAGGAATAAATAACTGTAAGAAAGATAGGTTTATAAAATTAAAAAGAGCTGTCTTCCAGCAAAAGCGGGGAGATTACAAGTCATTGTAACTGATGTAATAAATGCAGAATATGTTATCTTGCTGCGCTCTCATTTATTCTTGTTTTATCTCTACCCCGCTTTTCTAGGTAGTGAATATGACGAGGAGGAGGTAGACTATGAAGAATCAGACAGTGATGAGTCCTGGACTACAGAAAGTGCTATCAGCTCTGAAGCTATCCTTAGTTCAATGTGCATGAATGGAGGGGATGAGAAACCTTTTGCCTGTCCTGTTCCTGGATGTAAAAAAAGATACAAGGTAAGCAGTAGGGCGTACCTGCCTTCTTTCCCACTGGGGTGGGGGGAGCTAAAATCAGTTTGTACCTTTCTCATTTAATAGACTTTTCACATTTATTTTTGTGGTATTTTAGCAGAGTACAAGTTTTATTCACTGCTTTCCTCTCAAGCACAGCCAAGTTACCAGCTTTACAAAGGATGTAGCCTTTTGTATCCCTGTCTGTCAAGAGAGATTACGTATTGTGACTCTTCTGCTTTACACATTTTTCCTAGCTTTCTATTATTTAGACAAATTAACTGCAGAATGCAGGAGGTACCACCAGCAAAACAATCTCCTAGGTCCCTTTTAGAGACACTAAATAAAAAGGTTTTGCCCATCAATGCCAGAATGAATTCCTTCTGCTTAACTGCTATAGATACTGCCTCTCCTTTAGTGAGACTGTGCCCAGGGTACTTTTCCTGGTAAAGGTGACGTGCAGAAGGAGGTGGGTAACGTTTTGGAAGTCAGAGGTCACCTCGGAAAGGCAGAGCCTTGGAGAAATTCTGGCATCGTTCTGTCCTGCGTCTGAGTCCCTGTGAGCCGTCTGCACAGCAGTCGGTGCATCTGACCCCAAGCGCAGGGCTTGCGTCCCTCTGCGTGACAGGCTGGGGAACAATCCCCTCCTGCGCCCCTTTTTAATTACTCTCCATCACGAGAGGTTTTTGTCTGTTGATGGGAGTGAAACGTGTTTAACTTTGAACCCTGAGCTGGCTGGTACAGAACGTGCCGTGACGTTGTGAGGACAGGAGTGTTGCTTCACGTGGACTGGTGCAGCGACAGATGAAATTGTATTGAACAGCTTGGGCTTCAGGATGGTGTTCTGTAGTCATTGACGTCTGGGAACAGAAATAGCATGTTGGCACAGTTCCTCTAAATCATTTTCTGAAGTTTTTGCCTGGAGTACTGGAAAATTCAACCACTGACCTATACCCTAGAAAAAGCAGTGGTGGTTGGGTTGGTCTTATGCTAGTTTTATTTTATGGCTTCTCCTTTAAATAACAGAAAAGTAGGGACTTAAAAGAGAACAGAAATATGAAAGCGAAATACAGGAAGACCAGTAACATTTGAGATAAAACAGTTGTGACAAGAACGAATAAACTGTGCATGAAACCGTGTAGTGGACAAAAACGTGTTTCAGTGATGCTGCAGCTGCTCTGGCCTGCGGCAGCTTCCATAGCAGCAAAGCACAAGACTCCGATTCCTACCCCGATCAGCTAACACTGACGATACGCACTTAAAACATGAGCAGGAAAGCAGTGTGCTCCTTCCTTCGTGACATACAAGTCTTTTTTTGCAGAGATTACCCTTAACTATGTAATGGATATTCTCTTCGGTCACAGGAGAAACTGAACACGATCCCCAGGGGCAGGGCAGAGGGAACGATGTTTTCAGACTATTTGCAGTATTACTTTGCAGATACACCCACATTATTCAAGATTAATACTTTTCCTGTGTGTGGTAGAAGCTGTGCCAGATGAAGGGTACAGTGTAAAAGCTAAATCCCTAGCTCAGGAAGCAAACAAGCCGTGGTGATTGTTAGAAGTCAGTGTGCCCACAGGGCATCTATGCATTGCAGCAAACATTCGCTTAATGGCAAAGGCTAGGAGGAGAACCCTGTAATTTGCTATATCCTGTCTGTTCTCTGTTTGACTGCCAGCCCTCTGTCTTTTTATTGCCCAAATAAGCAAGCTGTTTCTGCCCGCTTCTGCTATCTCACTACCTTCATCTCAAATGCATGAGGACTGTCTGAGGGATATCTCCTACACCATTAATGTTCGAACTGTCAGACAGGGAACAAATTAACGACCCTCAGAGAGGCTGACAGACAGAGAGCAGCAGCAAATAAAAAGCACCGTATTTTCCTAAGAGGTTCACCTCTGTTTAGTCCTGATAGGAAAACACATTTCCTTAAACTCTGTCTCACCTCATTTCTCTTTTCTGTGGGCTCTGTTTCCTCCCTTTTTTCTTTTCAGCCTAATTTTTTTTTCTTTTTTACATTTTTATCTTTGTTTCCTTGCTTTCAGCTTTGTGTCAGCTGTGTTTCTTGTTTCCTCTTCATTTTCCTTCTGCTTAACCCCCTCCTCTGACGAATTATTTGCAGAGTCTGGGTAGGGAGTCCTGTGATCAAAGCCCTGGGATTTTCTGGTGGGTACTGGATAATCACAGTCAGAGCTGTAAAACAATTACAGTGCTCCAAACAGGAACACGGACATGCACATACAGTAATTGCCAGGCTTACTTTACAGCTGAGAAAGGATGCATTCCTTCAGGGAGCGAGGAGGAAAGGAGGATATACACAGTTTTCTTTTGTCCAGCCATAGGTGACGTACGTTTCAGAAGCAGAAGCGTTATTTTTAGATGTTATTTGTGTTACAGTACTGCTTAAAGGACCCAGTAGGGACAGGGCTCCTTTTTGCAAACAATGTAGAAGGATAAAAGATGGCCTCTGCGCTGAAAAGTCATTATGGAAAGGTAAATAAGACAAGAATGAGTACAACAAATACTCCCAAGGAACGGGCTGGGGCGGACAATGGAAACTGCAATGAGAACATGTTTATGCACAAGCCCAGATGAGTATCAGAAGACCCTACTGGCCGCCTGCCCAGCCGCTATCTCCTGGCCGTTTCCCACAGGCCGTGCAGTAGAAGTGAGTCGTAAACATGTAGTTGTTCTTCAGGAACTTTATTTCTTTAAGAAATAAAATAAAATTGCTTGCTTATAGCATATGTCAGTACTCTATGTAGTATGGCACAGATTTTCTGGAGGAACCAAAGATTTTTGGGGAAAAAAAAACAAACAGTTTTTCTAATTATATGTAATTTTGTTTGTGGGATAGTCAGAAACAGGTAAGTGAATCTGGAGCACGCTGACTTCTAGATACTTAAAACACAAGCCTCTGATCTAATTTCTGAAGGTTGCTTTCTCCTCTAATTGTAGTAAGTGACCTAGAGAACAAATTAGAAGTGTTTTATAGTTTGCCATTTATGGATTTTTTTTTCTTCATGCGATTTGTATTTGATGCTTTAAATTTGTTTTTTGGAAGATCATCTGCATGATTCAAAGGAACCCAAAGATCTTGGTCTCGTTTCTGTGGAGTTCACCCTCAGCAGATTCGGGATTTACCTCCACATTCAGGTGCCCCATCCAGAAGCGTGTGGGTATTGAGTCGTTAACGTGCTTTGCAAAATGCTGCCCGGAGGAGCTGAAGTGTGGATGCCCGAAGGAGGCAGTTAGTTTTCCTTTTGGTCAGTAGCACCTACGTGTGTCAGTTATTTGATCTCTAGCTCTGGAGAAGGACGTTCAAAACGTGTGTATGATATAGGTAAACTTCTGCCAGCAACTTCCAAAGAGCCAATGAGGTTCGATACGTAACAGATAGATAGAAAGCCCCCACAAATAATGCATATATGCTGTTACAGGGAAAACCATAGAGTATTTGTCATCATTTTTCTCGTTTGTGCAAATACAATAATAAAAGAATAATAGATTTCCGTGCATACCAAATGTAGCCTATATGCATGACTGCTTTTTGGCCTTGGGCAAGAGGAGAAGTGGTACCTTCCAAGAATGCCAAGGCATTGGGCTTGTCTTTCTAGCAGGTGATGAGACGAGGGCCCTCGGCCTGTCGGGGTGAGGGAGGCAGACCCCCAGGAAGGCTGATCTGAGAGCAGTGAGACTCAGCAGAACTTGGAGAGGAAGAACATCGAAGGGAGAGAGGGAAAGGAGAGGATTTACTTGGAAGAAAGGAGCAAGCCAGAGCTTGCAAGTTGAGCAAAGAGAGGCTGGACCCACAAAGGAAACTTCAGGAGGAACAGCCAGGAGATGCAAAAACCTATATGAAATTTCCACATCCTGAAACAAGAAATCCTCCCAATCCATCCTTAATGATTCCTGTATGAAGGGGGTGGTGAGCCCTCACACCTTCTGCAGTGTCGTGGTCTCTTGAGTCCTGCCGTGCAAGGGGCCCTGCCCAGCAGCGCCCGTGTGCCTGGGCAGACCGGGCAGTGCCAGTCTATAAACTTCTGTATCTCCGCCTGATCTGGTCCCAGGTTAATAATTGTTTCCTCCTGTTTAAGTTTTGAGAGTGCCCTTCTATACTGCCATCTTCTTCCTCAATCACTTGTGAGAGTAAATAATGAGCAACCTAAGTAACCAGAGCAATAAAAATGATGTATGGGTTTGGCAGTGGGTTTTACCATACCTCAACAAACTCAACCCAGACATACAACAAAGTGTTTACATTACAGCAGTGGAAAAAGTGCTGAAGAGTCGACTGTAATTCTAACAGCAGCTTTGTTTTAGACAGGAGTACAGGTCAAATCTCACGTGGTACTAGCTCCTCATGCTCTGCCTGGTTTACTGTTTTTCAAACCTTCTGTGGGCCAATTCGTTCCACATAGGTTTCTGGTTTACCATTTCCTTTGATTTTTCTGCCTGAAAGTACTTTTCCCCTTTCAATAAAACACGTGGAGCACTCTGTATTGAGGCTGAGTGGATCATTAAAAAATCTGGATCAGGAGAAGGGTACCATTGGCATGGAATAGTGAGGATATTGGTGACTGCAGGTTTATGGCATCTGTAGCGTTCGATGCTAGTTTAAAAGTATCTTTAAGTGATTTCTTACAAAGGTCTAAACTGGTCTCTGTAGTTTCCAAAATACATATAGGGTTTGGGGATAACTTTGTTTTTAAAGTTTCACTGCAGTAGCTAAAGTTCAGCAGATCACCCCCAGATTTTCTTCTCTTTGGAGGTGCAGGTCCTTAACGGTGCTTAGGTGCTGACAGCTGCCTAGTGACAGTCCTCGTGCCATCCCCGGGCCCCTCACCCCATCGGTCCTGCAGGTAACTGTCACTATGTGCAGAACCACCTAAAAGCTGCCTCAGGATCTCGGATAACTTGCCGGGAATTCAGTTGCCTGCTCTTGAGGATGGTTTGTAGCTTCGGTGTGCTCGTGTCTGTGGTGCAGCCCTCTGCCTCTTCCGAGTGCTCTTCACCCCGCAGTAACCTGCACGAAAGGCTCGTGTTCGAGCGTCTGGTTTGTGTTGGAGAGTGAAGAGTCTCATCTCCCACATCTCGGGTGACAGCTGTGCAGGAATTGTCCCGTATTTTTAAGGATGTAAAGGACAATTTAGGGGCTGGATTTGCAACTTCAAGCCTGCATGCTCTAGAGAAGCATGAATTTGTGGGCGGGGCAGCTGCTTGCTGTCTTGCACCGAACCCTTTCCCCAGGGCGGTTACTTGAGGCTGTTTTGCTCTCTAAAGGATGTCCCCCAACGACCCTCTCCCGACACCCGGGCTGCCCTGAAAGGCCCCTACACTGGGGTTGGGAGCTCTGACGAGAACAGCACCGCGCTCAACTTCAGGACTGAACCCGGAGAACTGCTTTTGCTTAAATGATCCAAAACACCTCGCTGCCGGGGCACAGTGAGCGCGTGGTGAGCAAGGACCGGCATTTTACGGTGGCAGGTGGGAACGCCGCCGCTGGCCGGGAGCCGGGGCGGTTTCTCTCCCTGGTTTCCTGGTGGGAGCTGCAAGGTCCTTACGCTTCTCCTGTTGGTAATGTGGTTTGAGCAGGGCAGCGGAGGGCAGCAGGCAGGGGACTGCCTGGCCCGGGAGTGGGACATAACCCGCGAGGTTCAGCCCCAGAGCAGGTTGGATTAGGAGGTGAGGTAGGGGAGGAGAAGCTTCCGCTTACTGTGGGCTGCACATTGATAAAACTGAACTTGTTGCTTCGAGAGCCAAGGGGACTTCTGTTACGTGTAACACCAGGCAGTGGTTCAGCAAAGGGAAAAATCCCTAAAACTTGATTGAGTGGGTTAGTTAATATCCAAGCTGTTAATTGATTTTAGATTTTTTTTTAATGGTTTAAAAAAAAACCCTGAGATACGTATCTGGAAACTTCAGAGAGGGCACAGTAGAACCTCGAAGCTGTTCTTTTTGTCACAAATTGTCTTGGCATCTTCTTGGGTTTCTTCCTAGGAGAAGCTCTAATGGAAGATAGTTTGCCTTACCTTATTTATCCAAAAATCCCAGCTCTTTTAGTGGAAGCAAAGAGAGATTCCAGTTAAGATAAATCCTACGTAAGCCAGTGTCACAACAGCTGTTGAGACCGTGACAGCTTCTTCCATTTTTGCCAGAAATGTGTGAAAAGGAAGACAGGGCTGTGATTTTGAGTTATAAGGTTCTTGATCAATCTCGCAAAAGCATTGAGTTTCCTGACCTTGCCAGTGTACCGGTGTGTTGTGGTGCCGTCTTCTGCTCTTTCTCCCAAACCAGTGGAGGTCGGTTCTCTAGTTCTAGCTGTAGAATGTTCCCAAACAATAGCTATTTTGAAGACGGCTTCTCTGGATTATTTTCTAAGTGCGTGCCCTGGGTAACTCTTAAGTGTTCCCCGCAGTTAATTCTTTGAGGGCAGTGTGTGCAAACTGCGAGGATTTGCTGGTGCCTAAAGACACATCTAGAAACAATGGCACCAAACACACCATGGGGGGGAGTTTCAGCTTTCTGAGGAAGCGTGACTGCAGTCTGCATGCCAGTTCTTTGTTTGCTTGTAAATGAACCTCCGAATAAAATTGGTCAGGGCGGTATGAAAAAATGTCAGGAAGCAAAGAACATCCATGTGTGAGTCCATCAAATTGTATTTTTTGGAAAGTGCCACGCTGTGGGAGATAGAAACCGGCATTGCCCAGGTAGGTAAGTAAGTTTCACGCCTTAGAACCGCACGGATTATTCTCCTTGTCCCCCTCGTATCTTGAAAGCACGACACGTGCCCAGCACCTCATGGGAGTTCCTCACTGTTTGTGGGGTTTGCACATAACGTTAGTCAATTTTTGGTTTGTAACTGGAAGCTCAGCCCTTACCAGCCCACCTGACCAGTAACGTTGTGCTTTCTCACTCGCAGAATGTGAACGGTATCAAGTACCACGCCAAGAACGGCCACAGAACGCAAATCCGCGTACGCAAACCATTCAAATGTCGCTGTGGAAAGAGTTACAAGACAGCTCAGGGCCTGCGGCACCACACAATCAATTTCCATCCCCCCGTGTCTGCTGAGATTATCAGGAAGATGCAGCAATAACATGCTGGTCACAAATGTGCCAAGAAATCCTCACCAGCAGTTGCTGATTTTGAGAACAGCCACCTTTTTCAGGGGAAGCATTCAGCAACCCTTTAAAAAAGTTAAATGCATGCTTTAAAATTTTCTGTAATTTTGGAATGATGTATCTTTGTAGAGTTAATGATTTTGTACATTTGCACATGTAATCATCATACCCATTTTCATTACTTTGAGATAAGGTGCTATAAAAGCTATAGGTTCTTCAGAACATTTTTCTCCAAAACAAAATCTTAGGGGGGGTGTTGCGTATTTAGTCATACTGAAGTGTTGAACAGGAGAGAGAGGAGGGGAGCTTGGCACTGACATCCTTTCGCGATTGGAATGTGATGAAGACTTTCGATGCATCTGTCAATGTGTGTGCAAAACCAAAACGATACCACCCTCGTCAAACTAGAGTTAACATGCCTTACATTACGGAGTTGCCAGTGGAGTAGCAAGTCTTAGGTAATGGAAATATAAATAAGAAAGAATGTTTAACATAATATGCTAAAAATATTTTCATACTTAAATAACATACATAAAAAGGTGTGCTTGCTGTATTTTATATTATCTTGCAAATCTTTTTTTTTTTTTTCTCCTCCCTCTTGAAATGCTGAAAAATCTTGCCATTCAAACTAGTAAACAATCACTTTAGTGTTAGAAATTACTAGGGGTTTTTTTTTTGTACAAGATGTCATATTATGTTCATGCCCATCAGACTTCGGAGGACCAATATCCCAGTCCAACTAAGTATTTACCCCTGAACTATCCGTTAGAAAGACACTTGGAAATACTTAAGTGCAAATTTATGTGTGTGTGAGAAACAATTATCTTCATCTCAGATGAAGTTCTAAAGCACTTTGTAGTTCTCTATTGCCAACAGATTTAATGTTTTATGTGTTGCCAATTCTTGCAACTACTGTACGAGCATGTGCCTGTGGTTGCAAATAAAAATTAAAAGTTCTGCGCATGGTTTAAGGAGGTCCATTATTTGTGCTAAGGGAGTTTCTGATGCCTCTCCCTCATGTTCATTGTATTTTGAGATTTTCTTTGTGCATTTTTTTTGCTTCTCAGTGTCGGTCGCCGCATTCCACTTGGAAGTGTCTGTTTAGCTTTACGATTCGTGTCGCTGAAACACGACATTTGAGCCTTACTGAAGATTAAGTGCTTCTTGCAGCAGGTGGTCAGAGACCGACTTAAAACAAAAGCCAAACCGAGCGCGCTTCGTGTCTGGACCATACCTGAGCAGCTGCCGCTCACCGCCCTGCCTTGAGCCGCCTCCCCTCACAAGTGCTGTTCTGGGAGCTGAGCCGGCAGCCGGGAGGGGCGGTGGGGGGGCCCCTGCCCTGCCCCAGCCCCGACCCGGGCTTACACCGGAGGGTTTGGGGAGGAGCTCGCTGTGTCCCACACAGTCGTCGCCTTTGCTTCGTTGCAGCTGAGTGCAAAAGCCAGCTCGAGTAAGGAGGAACGAGCTTTCCCTCTACCTTTTTCCAAAGCTTTAAAAAGGAAAACGTGGTCAGGATGACAATTGCCTGTTCTCCGCAGAGCACCAGTCTCGCTAAAACACGTAGGAATCGCCCTAACGAACAAGCGTTTTGGGTGAAATGGCCCCTTTTCAGCCCCAGAGCGGTGCCAGCGCTTGCACGGCCCAGCTCCGTCGGCGGGTTGGAAGGATGATCCAGACATGAGCAGTGCTGGTGCCCACGGGCCCCAGGTGGCCACTCCCCACCTCCTGCAGTTTTGGCAGCAGCTGCGGCCAAGGGCCAGGTCTGGCTCTGCTCCTAGTGCAAGAACCTGCAGGCTGGTAAGTTCGTTCGACAGCTAAACAGTCGTAAAACGTCATTGTTGCATGTAAATTCCTTTCAACTATAAAAATGGAAATCCAGTTTCTATTTACCTATTCATTGTGACAGTATTATTAAACAGGTAAAGATGGGACTATTTTGTTATACTGTGTATAGTGAGTGTATTGTACTGTGTCTGTGAAAAGTGTGCTTTAAATTATATTTTCATATGTTTTGTTGGGGACAAAGTACTTTAAGTTTGAAAGTGACAGAGGTTTGTTTTAGAACTGAAGGCAACTTAAAGAATTCCTGTCAAGAAAGCTGCTTATAAATGTAAATCAAATCACATTTAAAATAAACTGCCTCTGACCTAACCCGACTGCTCTTTACTCGTTACTGACCCCAAGAGTGAAGTTCCTGGGCTGAACAGCCTTTCCCTCGGGTGTTTTACTCCACTATCCGCAAACTCTCTATTCAATAAACACCTGAAGCAACTCCAGCACTGCACCATTAATACACAAGATTACACAATGCTACAGCCTGGGGGGAAAAAAAGGAAAAAAATAAGGAGCATTTGTATTAAGAAGGACTTCAGCTGTCTCAGGCCGCTCCCTTCCACCATGGCAGCACCTGCGGGGGGCTCAGCAGCCCCTGGCAGAGGTAGGATCCGTTTTCAGAAGTGAAGTGGCTGTCGCTGAACGGGGAAATCACGGACATTTTAGTTCAGCGAGGTCGGGGTAGAGGGTTTGGCCTGCAGGCTCACGGGGTAGGTTATTTTAAGCAGCCACGTCAGGGTGGCTACCGAACAGGGAAGCTATTCCAGTGATTCCCTGCGTATAGACACATCTAAGAGGAGTCCCTGCTTTGGCACAGTTGGGTTTTGGGGTTGTCCTGCCCCTGTGGGATACCGACCCGAGACTTCCCAAGTCTGTAATAAGCATTTTGGTGCTACAGCCTGTTCTGTTTTCATGTGCTGTTGAGTTACGGTAAGAAAAATAAAAATTTAAAAAAAAAAAATCAACAAAATATTCTTCCCGTGCTGCCATCATTACCTCAGACCATCTCTTGACATGAACTTCACAGTAAGAAACTGAAGACTTTAGAAGTGGAGCAGGAGGAGGAGTGATGCAGGAGCTGCTGCCCCAGGCTGCGATTCACCTGTGGCGTGGTTTTTCCTAAACCTGCAGCGAACAGGCTATCGCAGGCGTTCACGAGAGAAGCGCAGCAGCAGCTACTCAAACCCCTCCGTCCCCACGTCCCTCTCCAAGAGGAGCAGGAACAGCTGCGAGCAGCAGTTTGTCACACAAGGCTGAAGCATCATCTGCTGCAGGGATGATGTAAGGCCCAAACTCCGCTTTACTTCAGAACGAGCGGCAGGAAAAAGGGACCACTGACTCCATGAGTAATTTTGCTTTTAATGTAACAAGACTACTGTACAACAAGGGGAAAGCAAATTTGCTTAATACAGTTAAAGTAAATATAAAATGTTTAGATATACACACATGGTTTTACTTATGGAAAGAAATGCATACGGTTAAAATGCAGAAGGGTTTCAAAGCCCTAAGCCAAAAGGAACACAGTTCACTCCTGTGAAAACGTAACAATATTCGCTACTGAATGCAACTGCAACATAATGGCAATGATTTTTTTTTAAAACAATTACTTTTAGGCATTGAAGCACAGCAGTTTCTTTCAACTCAAAAATACTGCCTTAAGGTATAACCTACTGAACGTAACCTCATCCCTTAAGGCAAACGTTCCCCATGTAAAACCGAAGTATTTCCCGTTCCTTTTGCCGCAAGCATGTCATCGCACCGTACATGCACCTACATTTCAAAACATACTAGAAAACTGTATTTTCATAGGGTAAGTAATGGAACTCTCTGATTTAACTGTTACTCAAAGAAGAACTACACAAATTCGCTAGGAGAAACATCTGTTTATGACATTTTTAACTGTGCCTCGTTATCACGGTCGGGAGAAGCCACAGGTGTTCCGGGGGCTTTTGTATGTATTTTTTTTTTTTAATGTAGCTGAAGAGCATCACGAAGCTGCTCTCATGTGTTCTGAGGCCAGGTCATTCCTGTGTCCTTAGGAATTCCGCTAAGTAGGGGAATAAATAGCTACGTACACAGCCAGGCGGGGGTTTGTGGGGGCGTTTAGTGCGATGTTAGGGAGAGCGCAGGTAACCTGGCAGCAGCTGACGGCCACGACTCGCCACGGCCCCCGTTAGAGCAGAGCAGCTGTCGTCAGGGGTTTGCACTGTTACAGAAAAGCTGCGCTGGTTTTGTTCCGTAGGTGGGGGTTTTAAGCTACGCTGCAAAACAAAGTATTTAATCAAAATTTAATACGTTCTGATCAAAGTGCGTCTGCACATGCCTCTCGAACCCTTGCTGGTCGTAGTCGGGCGGGAACTGCTCGCTGCACATGGGGCACACCTTCCAGTGGCTCTCGACGTGCTCCTCGAACTTGCTCTGATCGTAGTTGGGTGGGAACATCACATCGCAGAGAGGGCACTTCTTGTGCACTTCGAAGCTTCACGAGGAGGCAGAGAGAAAGAAAAGAGGAAGCAGTTACTTAACCTGTTATTGCAAAATAAGCCACAAAAGTAGGATCCTGCTGCCACCGATGGTAAGAACCTCACTGCAAACTGAAACTGGAGCACAGCCTGGACCTAAGCAAGCACCAGACAGTTAATTCAAACGTCTTTGCTGGAAGTGCTCAATACCGGTAAAGTAGTTTTACACAGGAATTCCAAAATAACCTGGCATTTTAAAAGCGAAATAATTTTGACATAACTCCAGCTACCACTGAATACAAATCCATTGAATGTCTTAATGGCCAAGCAGTTTCATGGGAAACCACTCTCCCTCCTCATAAATGCTTGCTCTTAGCAAACATAACACTTTATAAAAGGTCTAAACTTAGGTTCACAATTAGCTTGGAAAGAGAGGGGGAAGAAACAAAAGTTATTCATTTACTTAAAAACTGCCCAAATTCCATCAAAATAAGGTCTAGCAAAACAGTCTACCCAGTCTCACAGCGTATTCTCCGATAGTTAATTGTAAACCAAGCATTTCTCGAAAATGCTCAATAGGTTTTCAGCTCTGCCCCTCACCCTTGAGTGAAAAAATCCAGTTCTACAGAAACCCACCCGTGCCATTAAGGACCAATAAAAGATGAGATTTACCTGGAATCGAAGCAGAAACGTGTTCCACGTTCGTGCAAGAGAAGACTTGGAGGATCAGGAGCAGAAGGTACAGTGGTGTCGTCATCCTATTAAAAAAAGGAAGCATTTCAAGTAATACCCACTAGAAACAGCTTTTTTTTCCCTCCCCCACAGGCGCATTTGTTACGAAGCACAAACGCAGGTGAAATTTCCCTTTCGTTCTGCCACCTCTGCGGGACAAGTTTTACTCCAGCGCACAAGAGGGAGACGTGGGGAGCGAACACCAAAGCTGAACACGGGCGGCCTTGGGCCGCACCCCCGGGCAGAACCTGTGCCAGCGCGCGGGGCACGTCCCGTCAGCGCCGGGGGCTGTGTCCCAACAGGGAAGCCCGCGCCGAACGGAACGCAGGGCATCGCGCTACGAACCCTAACGGCGTTTCGTCAAGAGCTAAAACTCATGTTCCAGACCACAGAATGTCAAGTCAGACTTTAAAAATCTGTCAATTTAGGTTTCAGCAAGGGGGAGGGAAACACCCACACAACAAAAAAAACACCCCAACTTGATCTGACTCCCCCGCTCGCCTCCCG